AGTAAAGAAAAAGAAAAGAAATATATAAAGAAATGATTTCCCCCTTCATCACAAGTATAAAAGATTTCAGTAACTTATCACCTTGTTTGAGAATACAACAAGAGATCTCTTCTTCCCATATCTCATCTCTTACCTATAAACAACTTCTTAAAGCTTAATTTCAGTCCTGCTCAGCAAAAGTCCATTAAGGATTACCAAAAGTAATAACATATATATTTTAACCTTGATCAACTAAATCAACTTTATATTCCTTCCCTTTACTTTTAACACAGTAAGTTATCACCTTCTCTAAAAATACAAGAAGAGATCTCTTCTTTCCATATCTCATTTCTTATCTATAAACAAATCTTTAAAGCAAAAGCCCATTAAGAGATACCAGAAACAGCAACATATATATTTTAGCCTTGATCAATAAACCAACTTTATATTTCTTCCCTTTGCTTTTAACAATCTTGATCTTTAATCCCTTTAAATAATATCCCAGAACTCGATTTCTTCTCATTTTCTCCTTGTCTCTTCTCAAAAAATCCTTCAGAACTTTGACAAATCTCTTTTGTAAATTCAAAATAATAAAGTTATCCAAGTCACTCTTCTGATTGATTATTTGTATATCCCTTTTAGTTATTAAGACATCAGCTGATTTCATTTGTATATTCAGTGTAACATCTTTTTCCATACAATTCTTATAGCTTATCATTTTTAAATCCTCATTCAAATCAGCCTCAGCCTCAGTCTTGTCCAGTAAAACTTGTTCCTCTTCTATAACCTTTTTTAAATCCAGTCTATAATAATAGCAGATAATCTTAAGATTAATTTCTGAGTACATTGTTCCCAAATGTCCTTCAAGTCATCCAAAGTTAGAGTATTTTGCTCCGTTCCATATTAGTGGGTCGAATTTAAGTGTTCTTCTCCTTTAATTAAAATCTTTTAGGTCTTTCTGGTTCCCTGTAGTGTCCAACCTTCAAAGACCCATCTTATCATATTTTTTTCTAAACAACAGCATTTTCCCATGGGAAGGTTTCTTATAATTAATTTTAAAATCTTCATATATATATATTTATAGAATTCAGAACAACAATGTTTTCCCATGAGAAGGATTGCAATTAATTTCAGAATCATTGCAAATCCATCTGGACCCTTAGTCCATTTATAACTTTCAATGTTCTAATCACTCTTTTGCTGTTTATTCCAAAATAAGCATTTTTGAAATCCTTAAACTTGCATAAAACCTCTTTTGCTTGGGTTCAAGGAGACTTACCCAGTGTGACAAAACTTGCCATTCTGAAGCTTCCTAATATCCAAAAAGAAGTTAACAAGCAATTTCCAGAAGTGGTTAAGAAAGGAAGTAGGCAAACACAGTGTCCTTTCAAAGGTGCTGACTGCAGTTTGGGCAAAGATGGCAATACTGCATCTCCTAGAGCTCTAAACCCACTGGAGACCACTGTCTTACGGTCTCATCATGAGGAGCTACTGTCTGGAGAACTTGTGGGCGATCCCAAGTCCTCTCCTTGTCTAGAGAGGAATTCTAAGTAGCCAGTCCATTCACTGGCTCCTCATTTCACCATGGTTGCCAGCTCCGCTCTCAGTGGGGCCTTCTTCAGTTTGCCATTTCTTCCCTAGAAGTCCCCAGGAAATCCTCTTCCAGGGGTTTCATGTAGACATGAAAGAGCATGGAGGAGAGAGCTGAGCCTTGTGGTGTCCCACAGTGAAGGATTCAGGGAACACCACAAGAGGGACTCAGTCCCTCTTCCCATATGTACACTGGCTTCTACTTTCTATTCAGGTGCCACAATTCAGTCTCTCCCATTCCCAGCCCTTACAGATGGTCCATGTTTGATGGTTTTGAATGCTGCTGAGATAGAAGCACATCTCACAAGAGGCAGAGGTCATGCTACAGAGCACCCTGTGCTCTCCTTTGGTCCCTCCAAAGAAGAGAAGAAT